CTGGAATCAGAGCCCCCAAGATCCAACATCCTGCTCCTCCACGTGTCCTGCAATGCAAGTGCTCTCAAGAAACAACACACCAAGAAAAATGAGGAGGAGGCTGCAGAATGTGCTAAACTTTTGGCCAAGAGAATGAGAGAAGCCAAAGAAAAATGCCAGGAACAGATTGCCAAGAGACGTAGGCTGTCCTTGCTGAGATCTTCTACTTATAAGGCTGAGTCCAGTCAAAAATAAGTCTTCAAGGGTAACAAACAAATGATCACACCTTGAAACAAACACACACACACACACACACACACACACACACACTCTCTCTCTCTCTCTCTCTCTCTCTTTCTCTCTAATGTTTCCATTGAGGGTAGCAATCGCAGGACAACAAGGGTAAGGGGAAAGGGTAATTGAATCAAAGGAGAATGGAAACAGCTTGGTGGTATGTTACAGATCCTCAACTGGTTGTAACTTCCAAGGTCCACAGAGCACTTGCTCACATGGGACCTCATGTAAAACAGTCATTAATTCTACTCATGTGGTCCCACTCCCTAGATTCTATCCCCAAAGTCCCATTCCACTGCTTGCACTGCTTGCCCTTCCTACTTCATTGCCAGTCTGCTACCAGTCCCTGTCCCCATCCCCAGGGGACTTCTGATACTCAGGTGCAAAACACACCAGTCAGAAGAACAGGTAATGACCTACCTGCAATCTGAACTTCCCTACTTTTGATTCTATTCCCAAAGACCCACTCCACAGCTCAGGCCCTCCCAGCTCACCACCAGCCCCACTGCCAGGCCCTGTCCCAAACCCCAGGGGACTTCCTTCTGCTACTCAGGTGCAGCCTACACCAGTCATAAGAGCAGAGACCCCCTGCAGCACCAAAGACCAAACTAGCTGCCAGAGAACCAGCCCTCAACTTGGACAAAGACTCCCTACTAGATTGGAGGTCATGGTGGCCAGAAATCCAGGCTACAAAGCCAGAAGACCAAAGAGGAAAAAGAAACCAAGAGACAAAACACCCATCCAACAAAGACAAACTCAGAAATCAGTACCTAGACCTAAAATCATCCTAAACCCCAGAGTAAAAACACAATCAACAGCCTCCAGGACACCCCCAGAGCCCAGCTACCCTACAACAGCAAGACCTGAATATTCCACAGCTGAAATAGAAGTAATAAAGAAAACACAAACTGAGGGAATTCTGGAAATGGAAAATTTGGGTAAGTGAACAGGAACTACAGATGCAAGCCTCACCAACAGAATACAAGAGGTGGAAGATACAGCAAAGGAAATAGATGCATCGATCAAAGAAAATGTTAAATCTAAAAAAACTCCTGACACAAAACACCCAGGAAATCTGGGACACTATGAAAAGACCAAACCTAAGAATGATAGAAGAATCCCAGTTCAAAAACCCATAGAATATATTTAACAAAATCATAGAAGAAATTTTTTCTAACCAAAAGAAGGGCATGTCTATAAAGGTACAAGAAGCTTACAGAACACCAAATAGATTTAATCAGAAAAGAAAGTCCCCACACCATATAATAGTCAAAACACTAAACATATAGAACAGAGAAACAATGTTAAAAGCTGCAAGAGAACAAGGTCAACATATAAAGACAGATCTACTAGAATACACCTGACTTCTCAATAGAGACTCTAAAAGTCAGAAGGGCCTGAACAGATAGATGTCTTGAAGATTCTAAGAGACCACAGATGCCATCCCAAACTACTATACCCAGCAAAACTTTCAATCACCATAAATGGAAAAAACAAGATATTTCATGAAAAAGTCAAATTTAAACAATATCTACCTACAAATCCAGTCCTACAGAAGATACAAGGAGGAAAACTCCCACTAGTGAACTGAGGACAGGAAAAACTCAATTCTGTATTCTTTAACAATGTTATCATAGGCATTTGAAAGTTACTATTCATTATGTTTTTTATATGTATTATCTAATTTAATTCTCCCAACCAGCATAGCAGGTAGAGTATATTACTGCCCCATTGTAAATGATGGCAGAGAAGAAAAAAAGACATGTAATCTACTCATAGTTAGCATCTGAACTCTGGGGTTCTGACCTCAGTAAGTCGTTCAACAGATACATGAGATACAATAGCTTGAATGTGTAGCTAGAGTGGTACAGATAGCATACAGCCCCTGCCTTCATGGAGTCTGTGCTCTGTGACAAAGATGGGCATTGAACAAGTAATTTCAAGTAATAAAAAAACAGAGACCACTGCAGTACAGGGCTTCAGTCCCCTAAGAGAACAATAGTGCAAAGTTTATGGTCATATTAACATAAATTACCAAGGTCAACTCTGTTAAAACACCAATCATTCTAACACTGTACAGATTTTAAAAGTAAAGTGACTATTTCCTAATCCCAACAGGTTCTGACAAATAATGCTTAAATCAAAACAAAGTTCAATAAAATCAATTATATATTCACTCTTCGTTTTAAATAAACAAAATGTAAAACTTGTCATTGCTTATGTAAATACAAGAGTCCTGATCATTTTAATTACAAGGTAATTCTTTCATGTAGATATTTCTATGATAGATAGATAAGCCTCACACTATAGAATACAATATGTTCTGGATATGGTAGCCAGACCACAGCACCTTTTTAAAAAATAACTTATTTAACTTTATTTTATGTGTATGAAGTTAGCAGAAGCCCTGGAACTGGAGTTACAGATAGCTGTGAGCTGCCATGCAAGTACATGGGAATTGAACCTAGATCCTCTGGGAGAACAACCAGTACATTTAATTGCTATACCATCTCTCCAGTCCCAGAACCACAGCACTTTAATCCCAGCATTTGGGAAGCAGAAGTAGGCAGATTTCTTTGAGTTTGGAGCCAACCTGTTATGTATGTGAGTTCCAAGCCAGCCAAAATTGCACAGTGAGACCCTGTCTTTGAGGGAAAAAAAAGAAAGAAAAGGATACAATATGTGCAAAGTCACTTTTTGGTTCATTTAGAGATAGTCTAGCATGGTCATGAGCAGAGAGAGTCTGGTGTCTGACCAGCTACGCCTGCATGTCAGCTCTGACACAACACATCATGGGGCAGCTCTCTTGGCTTCAAAGTCCAAGTTCTTCACCAGGAAAAGGTGATTAAGCAATGGACAAACCACTAAGAGTTTCTCTGAAGGTTAAATGAATGATAGCCTCTACTATCTCTCTAAATTGTCTGCCTGGTTGTACACAGGAGGAGAAGAAACAGCAAGTATGTGATGTGTGGATGGACCTGATGTTAGGAAGTCAGAATCAAGGCTACTCACTAGAGAGCAACTAAATCAGCAGAGGGGGCAGATCCAGGCAGTCTCAGCAGAGTCCTTCCTGGGAGGCAGAAAGGCAAATGGAAGCTGACAGACAGTAATTAGAGCTAATTCATGTTTGGGAGGAAAGAACAGCAATGTGGACAATTAGAGTGATTTTCCCATGCCTCAGCAGCACTGAAAACACATCACTGGAGGGAGGAGACTTCACCTACCACTTGTTTGCCCTCCCATAGTGATCAGCCTCTTCCTCTACCAACAGGTACAGCCTCTGGGTGATAGGAAGTCACAGCCTGAATGGGACCCGAAGTTACCGAAACTGGTGCTTTTCAGGTCTTTAAACCACCAAAGCCTCTTCTTAAAAGGAAAGTATGAATGAAAAAGTGAAAGCATGTGGCTGCTTAGGCTTCTGAAGAAATGTGGTCCCAGAAGCCAGCAGCTGTGGTCCCTGCTTCCTACCCACATCCCCACCACAGCTCCTAAAGCATCATCTGAGAGCCACGGGTAATGACCGTCTCCTTGACTCTACAGTAGAAACTGAAGGTCAGGAAGTGGGGGGCTCCTGTGTACTACAGGTGAAGCCGGCTAAGCTAGAACTGAATACAACCAGTTTTCTAACGGCCAGTCAGAGCGTCTGTCAACAGTCTGCCACTTTCTTGACTCACACGCCAAAAAGAAAAAGGACAAAAGCTACTTCAAGAGAATATACCTTGTCGGAAGAACAAAATGCAGACGGGAAGCAGGCAATCCATGAAGTGGGGCACCATGAGCCTAAACCCTGCTACTCCATATTTTGAACGGGACATGGCCTTCACTACTGACTAGAGCTAGCAAGTAAGGCTGTTGCTTTTTAAATTAAAAAAAAATTAAAACAAATTAAGGCTAGAAAAACAAAAACAAAAACACAACTTCCTGAAAGAAAGGCAGGCATCACAGGAAATGCCTAGCAGACTCACATTCACAGCCAGGCTGCATAAGAATGCATGCACTTCTGCTAGGGAGGAAGTTAAAGTCACATTAATGAGACTGGGGGAGGGGGATAAAAGCAGGGAGCAAATACCTAACAGAATGAACTGCAGTGACTAACGCATTGATTAGAGTCTTCTAGTGTCCAGAATGATTTATGTTCTGGTCACAGCACCCAGCTTGGATCATCTGGTTATACTTTGAGGCATCTGTATTTGCTGGGTGTTGGTGGCAGACGCCTTTAATCCCACCACTTGGAAGAGGCAGGCAGATCTCTGTGAGTTTGAGGCCAGCCTGGTCTATGCAGCAAGTTCCAGGACAACCTCCAAAGCAATACAGAGAAACCCTGTCTCGAAAAGCCAAAAAACAAAATAAGGAAAGAAACCAAAGGGTCAGGTCAAGTGCTTCCTCCTTGGGACTCTATGTTGTACAGTTCAAGGTTCAAATCAACACTTATAAATTATTTTCTAAAGTACTGTAACTTTCCTCCATTTGAGTCACCAGTGATAGACAGAACCCTCAAAATTCAGCGTAATCCTGCATCTATATAAAAAACTAAGACTGGCAGCAGCTGGACACACTAAAGCCTATGACATGCCACTACTTAGTATGGACATCCCAGAACTCAGGATAGCATTTTGACCTTTTCAGTCCATAAAAGGACGGCTTATAGTACTCAGAGATAAGGTTGCCAGATTTGACACAGATTATTTCCTAGCCTTATCTGTCCCACATTCCTTACGTCGTCTCACCTTCTCCAGTTTGAACACAGCACCAGTGTGTGGGTGGATGAGCCCTTGCTGGCAGTACTGCAGAGCTGAGGACAAGCTCTTGGAAAACAATGCAAAGTCCTGATGTTGGTAGCGACCCCAGTACAGGCCCATGGCAGAGATGTTCTTCAGGAGCAACAAGTTGCTGGGCAGAGATGCGATATTTCCTCCAGCGAATCCCAACACCACAATCCTGCCTTCCCAAGCCAGGCTGGAGAAAAGAAGGAAGGGGAAGGTTATAAGAAACAATGGACAGGCCTGGGAAGACGGCTCAGTCAGTGAAGTGCTTGGAGTACAAGCATGAGAACCAGAGTTCTGATGACCAGCATTCACATAAAAAGGAAGGCATGGTGGTATACATCCTAGCACTGGGGGTCCCTAGGCAACCAGATTAACTGAGATGGTAACCTCTGGGTTCCGTGGGAGACCCTGTCTCAAAAAATCAGGTGAAGAGGAATAGAGGAAGAGACCCAACACCAACCTCTGGTCTCCACACAAGCTTTCATGGGCAAGTACACTACTCCCAACATGTGGATATACACATATGCCATACACACATACACACATACACACATACACACACACACACACACACACACTCACAGAGAGAGAGAGAGAACACAATGAACACGTATACCCATCAAGATGGCTACTATAAAAAAAGAAAATAGCCAGGCAGTAGTGACACATTTCCTAGCACTTGGGAAGCAAAAGCAGGTGGATCTCTGAGTTCAAGGCCAGTCTGGTCTACAGAGTGAGTTCCAGGACAGCCAAGACTACATGGAGAAACTCTGTCTCAAAAACAAACAAACAAAAAATACTTTCAGTAATTCTATTCCTGGTATATCTAAGAGAACCAAAAGCAGAACACTGAAAGCTGTCTGCACACACCACGCCTATGTCTATAACAGCATCATTCCCAAATAGCCAAGGGGTAGAAACAAGCCAAGTGTCCTCACCAGATGAAAGGATATAGAGTAACACACACACACACACACACACACACACATGCTCACACATGGAACAGTATTCCAACTCTGCAAGGAAGGAAATCCTGTCACATGCTGCCACACAGGTATCCTCTGGGACAGTATGCTTTAGAATCGAGGCTATCTCTTGTTGTGAAATAATCTTTTTGTACACTATGATTTATGTGTCAGTCTGATTGATTTAATAAAAAGCTGAATGGCTAATAGCTAGACAGGATTTTGGAGGCTGAGAGAATGCTGGGAAGAAGAAGGATTAGTCACCAACCAGAACGAGAAGGAGCAAGACATGCAGGAGGACAGGGAAATGCCACGAGTCATATGGCAACCTAGAGATGAATAAAAATGGGTTAATTTAAGTTATAAGAGCTAGTGGGGCAAGCCTAAGCTATCGGCCAAACTTTCATAATTAATATAAGTCTCCATGTCATGATTTGGGAGCTGGTTGGCAGGACAGAAAAAGTCCAACTGCAGTCTCTTCCACTGTGAAAGGGTATTGGGTATCAACAAATGTCATTCCATGGGTGAAATTTCAAGGCAAGTCAGCTTGAAGATTTTGAACCTAGGCAACAGGAATAAGACACATGATGGCATAAGCAGTCCCTTTAAGCAAAAGGTAGGTGGGAGCAGTGCCCTCAGAACACACCAGAAGCCCTGGGGAAACACAAAGAAACTGGGAAGTTAGAACAATCCCACCAAGCCTCCAGTGACACGTAGTTAATCAGAAAAGCCAAGGAAGCACACAGCTGCTGCAGGGTCAGCTGTCAAAAGAGCTTGTGCCTTGGTGCATAATCAGCTGGGGAACCGGGAAACTGCCGCTACAGCAATCCTAACATCTGAACAATGAACTCCCCAGAACCCCGCACCCCCGTGTATTTAAAGCAGTTAGTGGGGGACTGGGGAGCTGGATTTAACACATGGATAATTTCTAAAGTCTTTGGCATTGCCAACTGGAGAGTCTGCAGTCATTTTTTGAATATTTTCCAGTTGGGTATTTTGTTTTTACTATATTTAAGCATTTCCTGATTTTCTCTGCTTCTGTTCCTTGTCACCCACCCACTCAGCTATTCTCGTTGATGCTGGCGCCTACAGGAGACGTGAGCAGCAAAGACAGGGAGAAGCCAAGGCAGTTTGAGTTGGGGATGCAGAAGGGTCTGTAGAGCCCCAGCTCTCGCCATTCTGGATGGAGCACTGCACGTACCTTCGGACAGACTCCAAGAAGACGTCTCCTCCCACCATGTCAATGGCCACATTCACCCCACTGCTGCCCACCAGCTTCTTCACTGCTTCCTTGAGGCTGCCCTGGCTGTAGTTCACGCTGGACTGGGCACCCCTCTGCACTGCCAGCTTGCACTTCTCGTCGCTTCCAGCTGCAGCTATGACCTGAGGGAAAACACAAGGTTTCCAATGGTGCAGATCATGTCATAGGAGGGGTGCATCCTACCAATCTAGACTCCGGCCAAAGCACTCCTCAAGGCACTCCTCCTGCCCAAGCATTGGCCTTGATCCCAACACTGACAGCACCGCACTGGCCCCTCCATGCCCCATTAAGTTGTGAAGTTCACAGTTCAAGGAACCGCATATGTCTAGTTAGATGGTTTAAAAAGCAATGAAAGTTGTCTCCAACTCCAAATGAAAAACACCATTTAATGAGCACCCACCATGAGCCACACAGTAAGAATACAAGCTGGACATCACACTTGGATTCAAGAAAGCAAGATGCAGTGTGTGGCAGGGAAGGAGAGAGGCTCCACAAGCACAAACCAGAGATCTCCAGTCTAGATCTTGAAGATCAGGGAAGGCTTCCCAGCCGGTGAACATAAGTCAGCAGAAATTCCTGAAGTCAGACAGATCAGGGTTCAAATCCTGGCTCTTCTACTAACCAGCTATGCCACATTGGACAAATTAGGAAGAACTAACAACACACTGTTATATTTTCCAGGCAACATTCTAAATGCTTTACGTATAATGATAATTCATTTATTCATGATAGCTCAATGAAACACACACCATTAGCTCTATGTTATTGATGAAGAAACAGAGGCAAGTTAAGAGAAGTTACATAAATTATCCAAGGAAGACCACACAGCTGAGACCTAAATCCAGGTAACTCACTTAACCAGGCTCTACACACTTAACCTGCCTGACAGCTTCTCCAGGTAATGGCTGCCTCAAATCGGTCAAAGAAAACTTATTTCTAAAGGTAAGTGGGACCCTGAATACAAAGTCCTGGTGCAGGGAGTGGGGGGTGAGGGGTGGGAGGGTGGGAGAGTGGGGGGTGGTAGATAAGTTACAGTCCATGTCAGACATATGCAATGGCTTATTCTATTTAAACTTCAGAGGAACATTACGGTACAAGCACTGCCCCTCCATTACTGCAGAGGTACAGACTCAGAGAGACTACGCAATCAAGCCAGGGTCACCCAAGTAGTAGGTGGCAGAAGACCACTGCAAAGCCCGTGGTAGTGCCTTCCTCAGGATGCATGCCTTTTCTGCTTTGTCGTCTTCGGGGAAAACCATGCCTAAGGCTAAGGCCCAAGACAGGTGACACAGATGTGTGGCAAGTCCAGGATCTGGAAAGTCCCAAAGCTACAAGCACTGAAGTGTTGCCTAGAGTCACCTTGTCAGTGAGGACACCCCGACAAACTCCCAGATGATGCTCTGAATCTGCACTTGTGTAGCCTGAAGGCAATTTTGGCTTGACTGTTAGTTGGGAACATTTTCTTGTTTTAAAGAGGATTGTTTGCCTGGTTTCTTTGAGACAGGATATTGCTATGCACTGCAAGCAGGACTCTAGCTCTCCATTCTCCTTCCCCAGCCTTCTGATTCTGGGAATACCGGGAGTGTACCACCACCCCTGGATATAAAGGAGCTTAATTTTCTCTCTTCCCCCCCTTTTTTTTTTAATGGTGCTGGGGATTGCGCTTGGGGCCTTACACATGCTAATCAATTGCTCTACCACTGGTTTATGCCTGCTAAGCCACGCCTGGGTTTCTACTCCAGACTGTCTCAGGGCACAGCTGGGGAACTCTGCCTGTGATACTTGACAGTACTCAAAAGAGTTTCAGATTTAAGTATGCAAAACCAAAATGTGGATGTCTGGGTTAGGGATATCGCACTGCTTCTCACCCATAAGGATGCAGTGCAGAGTCTGTCACAGTGGTGCAAGCCTACACATCCATCTGTCTGGAAGGCTGAAGTGGGAGAGTCAAGAGTCTGAAGCCAGCCAAGGCAATGGAGTGAGACCCAGCATCATTATTACTGCCCCATTCTACTGACCACTTTCAACTCTGTAAACTCATTGCTGCATTATTACGAACGTGTGATGGTTAAATTCTCTTTGAGTTAGGGATGCCAGCTTCTTTGTTAATTGATTATTGAATAAAATCTTTTGTACATTTAAAAAAATGTGCTGCTGGGTGGTGATAGCATAAGCCTTTAATCTCTGTGATTCAAGGCCAGCATGGTCTACAAAGTGAATTCCAGGACAGCCAGGACTACACAAAGAAACCCTGTCTCAAAAAAATTTTTTTTACTCAGATACTGAAGAACATCAGTGTCCATAAAGGATTCCAAACTCACCCATAACTCTTTGGAACTGAAAGCTACTTTCAAGCACTCCCTGACACATCCCTTCAAACAGCACAGTCTACTGAGGGCTATGCCCACATAGGGCCACGGTGAGCAGACATCAGACTAGGACCAGGCACCTGATCCCATGTACAGATGGTCACCAGGTCTCAGTGAGACCTACAGTGAACTGCTTTCTCTCTTGCTGCTTCACTTTCTTGATCTGTGAAGTAGATAGAGAGAGTAAACACCTAGAGGACTCATCTCAGGGGCAGTGTGAGGATCATGGTTGAGATAATTGCTTCGGAGGCGCTCTGGAAGCAAAGTATGTGACCCTATGGATATAAGGTGTGAACAAATGACCTGTGCCAAGTAGGGAAACATTTTTACCTTTTATTTTCATTTACTTATATCTTAAAGGGCTTCCTGCTTTAAAAGAAGATATAGCTCAGATGAATTTTAATATCTGAATTGAAGCAAATTTTTCTATTGAATCTCTTAGAACTAAATAAGTGACATAATTTTATCTTCTTAAAAAATACCAAACAGACAGACACAGAGACTAATCATGACCTCTTCCCCTAGGAGAGCTAAAATCCCTTCCTGATAACATGAGATGCACGAATATTCCACAAGAAACCTCAGAGTCCCTGAGGCTGTTCTCACATCTCACATCTCCTTCCACAGGTTTACTAAGGTGAGAAAGGAGAGATGCCACCTGAGGTACCAAACACCATCAGCTTCTATTTCCAGGTGCAGTCTCACATCCAGGCCTCAAGTGCCAGAGGAACCTTGAACTATGGCAGAGGAACAATCAACATGACCAAAACAGCTCTCCATGTCTTCTGTGTTCTCTATGACCCCTGTGCTCTCCATGTCCCCTGTGCTCTCCATGTCCCCTGTGCTCTCCATGTCCCCTGTGCTCTCTATGACCCCTGTGCTAAGTCCCCTGTGCTTTCCATGCCCCCTGTGTTCTCTATGTCCCCTGTGTTCTCTATGTCCCCTGTGCTCTCCATGTCCCCTGAGCTCTCCATTTCCTCCTGCACTCCCCATCTCAACAAACAGCAATCCCAAAAGTTAACTTAGTTTCTTTCTTCCCACTCAATGTCTAACAATACCAGGACTTGTTAGAAAAACAAACTGACACACCATACTTCTGACAGGCATGTTGCCCATAGAATCTCGATATTTCCAGCGGCTCTATGGAAGCAACATCTTACAAATGAGGCAACCGACGCACTTAAGCTGGAAGCAGAGCTGCGATGTGAACCTCCCTCCAACACCTTTAGACTCTTCTTCTGACTAGTAAAATGTTCTCGGGTCTTTGAATACTCTCATGTTTCTCCAACTTCATTGATCTCAACTGCCTTGGTCCAGGTATCATAGCCTCTAGCCTAGACAATGCCCTGCCCTTCTGTCTCCATCATCTCTGACCTCACACCTACAGCCACTATAGTGAACTTTAAATGCAAAGGCAATGCCGGGAATGGCAGTCGGGACCCATAATTCCAGCAAAACAGGAGGCTCCCCAGTTGGAAGCCAGTCTAGACCACACATCTTGCCTCAAACAAAACAAAACTAAAACAAAAGATAATAATGTCATTTTCCTGCTTTAAATTCTCAATAACCCCCCATAGTCTTCAAGAAACATTCGAACATTTCAGCTATGAACAAGGCCCTCATGATCCTGTCACAGCTGACTGGGGTCAACTTTCGCCATTCTACTGCAGCTCCTTGGTTCCAGAGATACCACTGACAATCGTCTGCATGCATGGCGCTTCTTCCTTCTCCTTGGTCTTCTACCACATTGTATCACCACTAAAACGGCCTTGACTTGCCCTCCCCTTCTTCTGATACCAGTCCTTCAGAGGTCATCTGAAACGTCTATGTCCTCATAGAAGTCATCCTCTGACCCCTACAGCCCCAGAGATGCGCCCTGTAGAGACTTGGACCATCTTCCATTCGTTTATTCATTCATTCATCACTTGATTCATTCATTCATTACTTGAAATAGCTTTTGAGTATATATACTATGCTCTCGACACCATGATAGCTGCTGGAACTAGTCATGAACCACGCAGGCATTTCCCCAGGATTCCAGTCCAGGAGAAGAGAAGACATTGACCCACAACGGCCCAAATATGGAGCAAATCACACAGTGACGTATGTACTAAGAAACAGAAGCATAGGGTAGTGTGAGATCATACATAAATAGTAGGGAAGGGAAACTGACCTAGCCTGAGGACAGGGATAATTCCCTGAAAAGGTGACATGAGTTTAACTCTGAATAAGAGGGAGACAGTTTGGAGCACTGTGGACAGAGAAAAGAGCATCTGCAGAGGTCATGGTTGGAGGCAGCCCTTGCCGTGTTCGCGGCCCTGAAGGGCCAAGTGGTACACTGCTAGGTCTCTTCTTAGTAGGAAAACATTACTCTAAGCACTGTAAGTCCCCAGTGCCCTTTCCATGATACTTGATAAGTGAATGAATATATTTTATGCCTAAACACTGGAGTTAATTTTTAATGGAGATTCTAACACTCAAATACCTTGGCCTGGAGAACATTTGTCGCCACATCTATCACGGCAAGGCCTGTGGCTCCAGCGGCGGCTGTCACTAGAACAGTTTCTCTGCCAAGGGAAGAAGAATGTTGCTGTAGAAACCTTCAAAGATCGCCCGGTGGTTAGGCTCCAGGGACACAGACGAGAGCATTTTAAAGCAAGAATGTTAGAGACCCTTTCATTCAAGCTTTTATGTAAGTCTCTCTCCAGCCTTGAGGGTGGGATATGTACATGACTTCAGACCCAATGCTGACTCTGTCTGGTTCTGAAGACTTTCCAGGAAAAAAGTCTCTCAAGCTCTCTAGATAATCTCCCTCTCTCACAGCAGTAGCAACTGTTCCTCTAAGCAACCACACCAATGCATGCTTCAGAAAGTTCATTCTGCAACCGTTCTCAACTAAACACTGCCTGATTTTAGAAGGTGATGTTCATAGCCATTGTCCAACTGAAGCTACCAGTTGGAGCAACTCTGAAGGCCAGCTCTCTGAACAGACTGAAAGCCAGATGCCCAAGTACAGGGAAGATTTCAGAACTTTAAGTTTAAAATATCTATAGCCAGGCAGTGGTGGCTCATTCTTTTAATCCCAGCATTCATGAGGTAGAGGCAGATGGATCTCTGTGAGTTCAAAGTCAGCCTGGTCTACAAAGCGAATTCTGTCTTGAAAACCAAATATAAATAAATAGTATAATAAGGTATTCTACTTGGCATAACCAACCAAGCTTCATAGAAACACATGCCATAAGCCTTACATAGGAAGTGAATTTAAATAAACCTACTTCCACCTAGGAATGATGATACAGGCCTGTGCTCTCAGCATTCAGAAGCCTAAGAATGAAGCTCTTGAATTTGAAGCTAACCTGGGTTATATAAGTTGTCCCAAGCCAGCCTGGGCGACACAGCAACATCCTGTCTCAAAAATAAAATAAAAATAAATCAACTCTGTAAACTTGAAGTACTCCTATGAAGTGATCCCCAGGGTGGTCAGGTTCAAGAGAACTGCTTTTCCAAATTCATACTCCAAGTTCTATCATTCCCTGGCAAAAGAATGGCCCACACCCAGTCCCAGTATAAAGAGATTACCACTCTTTTGCCTTTCCTCCACTTAAAGGAACTGGAGCTGAAGAGTAGCAAGGGGAGAGTCGAGGGGAAAGAACAAGAGGGGGAAGGTGAGGGAAGGAGAGGAAGGATAATGCTGATTTGTTTGGGGTCTGGTTTGGGCTCTGAAGCGGGAGTCTCATGTAGCTCAGGCTGGCATCTAACTCCCTCTGCAGATGAGGAGGGTCTTGTTCCTGATCCTCCTGTCTCTCTTCCCAAATGCTAGGAACACCAAGTGCACCACCAGGCTGGGCTTCAGGTCCTGCCAGGCACTTCTAATACCAATAAAAGTACCACCTAGCCCTCTGCCTCTTACACAGTCCTTACCCAGGCTGGGTGCGGGCCCGATGCTCCACAGCCAAAATAGCTGTGCCATAAGATACAGGTAGGACTGCAGCATCTTGTAGAGAGACGTTTTCTGGAATGCGCCACAGGGTCTGTACAAAGAAACATCAAGCTGTGGCAAGGCATGTGTACCTGGTTACAGAGGCTGCTCAATAAACATTATGATTTGATTGGGTGGGTCATTTACAATGGGAAAAGCATGTCTATCTTCACCAAGAAAGCCGCGGTGAGTTTAGCACTCAGGTGTGTCAGGCTTCAAACCCCTAAGGCTGGTATCTGCTCAAAAAAAGGACCCAATTGCGGGAGAATAAGTGAATTTTACCTTTGTGAAGTTGAATGGGATCCTTATTACATGGCCCCACTAGGGGGCACCATTCACATCCTGCTCACCCCATACAGAGCCACCCTGTTTCCAGCCCAGACCACTTCCATAAGCTTTACAGGAAAACAAACTATACCCAACTCAATGCACTAAACCAGTTTTTCAACCACAACTCACTAAATAGGGTCCAAATGAATGGCCAGCCAGTTGCTCAGGCACTTGAAAAAAAAAAACATTCTACACAAACAAAACTCTATGTAAGGCCTGTGCAACTGTGCACCAAGACAGAAGTTTAACATTTGAGCATTTGAAAGAAGGAAATAAAACTGCTTGACTAGAAACAAGATACAATGAAACACACAAAAGGAGGGCGGTGTCAGAAGAGAGACGCAGAAACTAAACAGAACAAAGGAAAAGAAGGAATCTATGTGTCCCACAGCGCTGAGAGGCAGGTATACCTTCTGGTCAGTGATGCACTCTTCAGCCATAGCATTCAAGTTACTCACTCCAATAACTCGATCTCCCTGGAGGGGAAAGAACTTATGTTCAAAGGCAAGGCCTTGCATTCCAAGACACACATTTCTGACCCAGAAGACATAGCTTGGCCTTAATATCGCTTCAGAATTCATTTCTAGTTTAAAAACAAAACGACAGTTCTTGCAATACCAGGATATCAAGCCAATATGAGTGCATTTTACACACCAGGGGAGCTGAGGAAGGAAAAGTTGGTAGGAATTAGAATCCTTCTACTACTTTTCACTTTCTTAAAATCTTTTATCAAAATAAAATCCTTTTTTCTTTCAGTAACTGAAGACCAAGTGGTGTCTTGTATTCGAAATAAAGAGTTTAATGAGGCCAGAAACTTGCACCAAGTCCCCCCACCTCCTCATTTATAATTCATTCTTTCCCTTCTATCTTGAGTTCCCTTGGTCACATGAAAAGGCTAGGAGAAACAAGACTTTTGGGTATAAATGAAGTTAGTACATTTCTCACAGCTACACACACATTCTGGGGTTTTAACCAATTTACCTTTTTCACAGTGCTGACATCTGTTCCTGTCTCCAGGACAGTCCCAGAAAACTCCATTCCTGGAACATTTAAAGATTAGGTAAATACCTTCTAAACCCAGCATCCTGGAGATAGGAAAACGGTGATCAACAGGGCGCCTAGTCTGCTATGGGAGCTGTTAAGTTTTGAATGTCCATCATTTTAACTAAGGGTAAAAACTGGTACTCAAAACACAGGATAGCGGGTGTTGGTGGCGCAAGCCTTTAATCCCAGCACTCAGGAGGCAGAGGCAGGCGGATTTCTGTGAGTTCAAGGCCAGCCTGGTCTACAGCGCGAGTTCCAGGACAGCCTCCAGAACAATACAGAGAAACCCTGTCTCAAAAAACCAAAAAAAAAAAAAAAACACAGGATAATGAGTATAAGGTTTCATGGTCACGACACACATATTACAGCTGTCCCACTCTTGACCTAGATCAGTTCAAGAATATGCAAAAGCACAGACTAATGGGTACACAGGTACTTTTGACCCTGATCACTGGGCCATTGGGCTCCTACGCAACCTCAACTACAATGACCACCAAATTATATTTACCTGCTGCCATGTCTCCTTTGCTGAATTATGAGGAGGTCCTCAAGGACATGACCTATGTTTATTCAGCTCAACAGGATGAATTAGTGTCATTTGCCCTTTCTTCATCCACCTCTGAAATTTCTTTTTATTTTTTTATTTGTTTTTTATTTGTTTGGCTTTTTTTGTTTTGGTTTGGTTTTTTTCTGAGACACAGTTTCTCTGTGTAGCCCTGGCTATCCTGGAACTCCCTCTGTAGACCAGCCTGGCTTCGAACATATCCCAAATGCTGGGATTAGAGGTATGCACCACCACCATCCCACCACCTCTGAATTTTCTGAACCTCATAGCTATGCATTTCCTACTTGCTCTGCCAGGGGAATAACTTCATTGTGACATCTTCCTCTAGTCTATTCTTTCAGCAAATACAAACAGAAGGAAACGGTTCCCGGTGTTAAGACACAATACCAAAAACCCCAAACACGACAGCTGTGTTGCAATCATGGAATCACTATAATCTTTATATTTATCTGTATATAATATGCATGTACTCCAAACACACTAAGCTCTACTTAGATCTCCTTAAATAAACTTCAACAACAAAAACAAGTTACGGATCTATGTATTAAAGATCTAAAAGTAACCAGACAAAGCATAATGGAAATCAGATAGTGGGCTGCTAAGATACAACTAAACTTTTTCCTTCCTCTTCTTCCTTTGGAACCTTCAGCACTGAGCTCCTTTGGGCTTGGGGTGATGAGGGTACAGGTCTTAACTGCAAGCATGTTTGTGATCCTTCAGTGAAAAAATGAAACTGAAGCACCACCAAGAAGACAAAGGAATAAGTAGGGTTAACAACATAATTCTGGTGAACACAACAATGTGTAAGCAGTTTCCCATTGGTTCAGTTTAAAGTAGTTAGTGAATGTCCTTAGTTAGCTGCTGCTGTCAACTTGACACAACCCAGAAGTATCTGAGGGAGTCTCAATTAGGGAATTGCCTTGGTCAGATTAGCCTGTGTGTATGTCTGTGGGGCATTTTCTTGATTGTTAATTGATGTAGAAGGGTGCAGCCCACAGTGAGTGGTACCATCTCTGGGCAGATGAGCCTGGGCAATATAAAAGGGATAGCCCAAAATGTGCCTGTGAGCAAGCAGCATTCCTCCATGGTTTCTGCTTCACTTCCTGCCCTGACTTCCCTCAGTGACGGAAGTAGAAGCCAAATAACCCTTTCCTCCCCAAGCTGATTTTTGTCAGTGCTTTATCATAGCAACAGAGAATCTAACTAGACCACTGAGTCATTTAGAAGCCAGGACAATGCTAAGCTGGGGATACAATATTGAATACAATATGCCTGCAGGGGAGGGTCATGAGGTAGTGACTCTAACAGTGATGTGGCATATATAACAGAAACCTCACTGGTCAAGCCTGGCAGAGGATGGGGAGTAGTGTCTAAGAAGATACATGTGGCTCTAAAAACCTTCAAAATCTTCTTTTCCTGAAGTAGTCGCTTGATCCCCCATACTCACCAGGTATAAAGGGAAGAGTAGGTTTTTCCTGATACTGACCACGACAGACCAGAATATCAGCAAAGTTAACACCACAGAAATGAACATCAACTCTGACCTGCATAGGAAACACAGAACAACAAAATGGAGACAAAGATCTTCGACAATAATTAATTCAAAAAGGGTTACCGAATGAATGACAGCAATATGCCAGGTACTGAACAAGGAGTCAGAGTATCTTAAGGCAAAATGGATAAGGTTTCGGCCTCTGTGGACCTGAAAATTTAGTAGAGAAGGCGCCAACTAAATAATAATAATGAAGCTAACAAGGCCATATGTGGTTTGGTGTTCAGTCAGAGTCACAATCAAGCTTGAAATCTTCCCGGAATTATAAACCTGAACCACCATACCTAGCTCATATTGTTGCATTATAATTCAGCATAAAGTATTAAAGACAGGAGAAAGCACATAATGAGAGCCTGTGACACTTTGAAGAATGTCACGAAAAACTAGGGACGTAGCCCTTGAGCTAATACAAGCGAAGAATTAATGATTCAGACTAGGGGGTGAAATCTTGGCACAGATAAAAGCAATGTCACGTGCAAATGCCCTGTGACAGAGATGAAGAACAGGAAAAGGAGAAAGAGACAAGGGAGCAAGAGAGTGAGAACATGACACTACACCAAGATTTTAGGACTTTGGCCTTCATATTAGGAACAACAGGATGCCCCTGAGGTCTAAACATAGACAACATAGGAATATGAGGAGCTAAAATCCTGGAGGACAGCCTAGAGCCCTGTCTTCTGTGCTCTTGGCAAAGCCATCACCGAGACAGAACTACAACCACATGGCCAGTAGTATCTCTAAACCAATGGTTCTCAACCTTCTTATGCTATGACCCTTTAATACAGTTCCTCATGTTGTAATAACCCCCAACCACAGAACTGTTTCATTGCTACTGCTTAGCTGTAATTTGCTGTTATAAATTGTAATGTAAATATCTGGTATGCAGGATATCTGTTATGTGACCCCTGTGAAAGGGTCGTTCAATGCCCAAAGGAGTCATAACTCAAGGTTGAGAACCACTGCTCTAGACCTTTTAAGGAGCCAGGGAGTCTCAAAAGGTGGTTAGTGCTGGACCATCCTTGGTATCCCCTGGAAATTTCTTAGGAACTCAAACCTCATCATGTTCATGCCTTTAATGACAGCATGGAGAAGACAGAGAAAGGCAGATCTCTGTGAGTTCCAGGCCAACCTGATCTCAACTCCATAGTAAGTTCCAGACTAGCCAGAGATATATATAGTGAGACTGTCTTAAGAAAGAAAGAAAGAAAGAAAGAAAGGAAGGAAGAAAGAAAGAAAGAAAGGAAGGAAGGAAGGAAGGAAGGAAGGAAGGAAGAAAGAAAGAAAGAAAGAAAGAAAGAAGGAAGGAAGGAAGGAAAGGGAGGAAGGAAGAAACTTAAACTTTAAGGCCACACCCCATGCTGAATCAGACACATGAAATCAAGGCAATCTGTCTGAACAGGCCCAGATGACTCTGGTGCTCACTGGAGAACACATACCAGCAGGGTTTGGAATCCCAGAAGATGCCAGTCCCAATTCCAAACCAATGATATTTACTTGTTTAAATGTAGTATAGAGGTGGCAGGGTAGTTAGAAGCCATTTTTCATCTACAAAAATCATCCATTTCTCAATTCCTTTTTGTTTTTGAGAAACAGGAGTTTCTCTGCCCAGCCTTAGCTGTCCTGGAATTTGTTCTGTAGATCAGGCTGACCTCCAACTCACAGAGATCTGCCTCCCCCGTTGGCCAACACTGCCCACAACATTTCTCAATTGTTTAGGCAGGTGCCACATGCCAGGGTCCATTCCAAACTCAAGGGATTTAATGGTGAGTAAAAATAACATAAAGACAGCTCTCACAAGCTAACTCCTTACAATACAAAACAGCAGAACTAAGGAGCCCAGCCCTCTCAGCCTTGGAAAACTGGAGTAGTTATTGACCAGTGGACATCACTCACATGTCCTCAAGGCACTCCATTTTGGTTTTAAGAACAATTTAACCAAGAGTGGCAAGGCATTTCTGCACTCTGGAGGCTGATGCAAGAAGATCACAAGTTCAAGGTCAGCCTGGATTACATGGTGTGTTAAAAAAAAAAAAAAAAAAAACACCAATTTCCCCAGAAAGGAATGATTCAAGATGAGCTCTAGGCACATGAGTCCGGAGAAGCGGAGTGGCCGCTATCACATGCTCTTCCAAATAATCCATTTTAACCACAAGCTCCATCTGGTGACTTTTAGGGCGGCAGCTGCGTTTCTGTCTCCCATCAGCGATTCCTACAGTGAAGACATTTGCCTACTCCACCCTGTTTCAAGTTCTGCATTCTGCACTATGTATTTGTCACATACTATCACCATCGTGGTCACTAAGCAAAGCCAAGGTGACTTTCACATATCTGGGAAAGAGCCACAACAGGAAAAGAATCCCATTCCAAATTACTGCAGGACATTAGAGGGGCCCAGGCATGTATTCACTGAGACAGACTGGGGTTTGGGAGAGCTGGAAGGGTGGATAATTTGATGCTGACACTGAAGAGGGGCTAAGCAAAGGATCAGGGTCCTTTATCTTTATTGTTATGTAAAGTCGTGTGTAAATCAGATGCTGTTTCTAAGGCAACTGCTCTGGAGCTTTAGAAAGGGGCCTATACTTGAGTTCTGTGAGACGGCTTCCTTGGCACTTCTGGCCTTTCTGTGAACCTTGAAAGGGCTTGACCTTCCAGCCCAGAGTGGGTACGCTCCAGCCTCTGGGTCACCCCCTATGCTTGGGAACTAGGATCTTGACTGCAGCGGGAAGCCATTTTAGTGCGTGGCCGAGATAGACGGAGGGTCTGAACTATACGTGGAGGCATCCGGAGGTCAGGCCTGTCACCCTACCTCGTGTGGCCCGACAGGGCGGGAAGCCACCTCTTCAATGATCAGGGGATGCTTCAACTCGGCACAGAGTGCGGCGCGGTAGTGCCGGCCTTGGCCCTGCGAGGCTCGCCTGCAACGAAGAAAAAGGGGACTGGTTTTCTCGGGAGTACCCGGGGGCTGGTACAGGGGGGCTCTGGGGAAGAGTCGGGCTTGCACCTGCAGAACCACGCCAGAGGGAGGTGCCGTGCACACAGCCGCGCCGCCAAGACCAGCAGAATGTTGCGAGGGGCGTGGCCAGCGCGTGGCAGGAAGAGCCCCGGGAGGGAGCGGAAAGGCGGCCGAGGACGCGCCCCGGGTGACACGGCGACCCAGCGGGCGGAGCTCCGTTGTCCGCGCCAGGGGCTGGCAGCCCCACCTTGCTTTTAAGGCTAGACCACCCACGGGACGCGCAGCCCTGGGGCCTGTCCTCCGTGCTGGAGAACAAAAAGGAAGCATGAGAAAAATGACTCGATTACCCCAGATTAACCTTTTTTTTTTTTTTTTTTGAGACAGGGTCTCACGATGTAGCTCTCCTTGGCCCGGACTCACAGTGTTGAGCAGGCTGGCCTACAACATGTGATCTTCCTGCTTCTATTTCCTAGGTGCTGGAACCACAGGCGTGTGCCTGGGAGACTGTTAAATCCGTTTTTGGAGCCTGGCGGTGGTGGTGCACACCTTTAATCCCAGCACTCTGTGAATTGGAGGCTAGCCTGGTCTCAGTGAACTCCAGGACAGCCAGGACTCCACAGAGAAACCTTATTTTGGAAAACAAAATCCGTATTTGACGACATTTCAGTAGTAGTTCTGGGGTTTTTTGTAAGATGAGCCCTTTGATGTCTGCATTTGAACACCTTGCTAGTGTCCCTGCTACTAATTTTCTCACACAGGGTTAATTATGATAAAACTAAACTGTTACTAATGATCTGGTGTTAACTGAGCCTAAGCAAATCCAAAGAGAATGTCCAATTAGAGACAAGCCAGCTGGGCACACGCCTGTAATCCCAGGACCCAGGAGACAGAGGCAAGAAAATCGAACATAGTGATACCCTGTCTCAAGTAAAAATAAAAACAAGCTAACATGGTGACAAACGCCTTTAATCCCATCACTCAGAAGACAGAGATAGGTGAATCTCTGTAAATTTGAGGCCAGCCTGATCTACATAGCCAGCTCCTGTCCAGGCAGGGCTACATACTTAAAACGTGTCTCAAAATACTAATTAATGAAGAAGATAAAGTCAGGTCAAAATTTAATGGTGTTCATGTACCAAAGGCCTGCCTATATTAGGTTTAACATTTTTGTAAACGTGATTTAGTAGCCACATAATCCCTAGGTGCATAGTTACACCCTGGAAGAACTAAAAGCAGCATTATTGTGTATGTGAGATAGTATATAAAACTAGTTAGGAGTTGGCAAGATGGCGGAATGGGCAAAGGTGCCCATTAAAAGCTTGACAAATGAATTCAATCCCCAGAACCCACATGATAGAAGGAGAGACCCTACACCCAAAAATTGTCCTCTGAACTCCAAAGGCTGGCCTTAATGATATATGTACACACACAATAGATATGTATATATTAAATTTATTTTTATTTGCTGTTATCATTAAATCTGTAAATAATCAAATAAATTGTTTTATTACATATTAATATATATTGCATATTAAAAATAAACTGGTCAGCCGTACTTAAAACAGCAACCAAATATATACCAGCAATATATGAGAGGTATGTGATATACTGGGGAGATTGTATCATTGGATAAATAGCACTTAATGACAACACAGTGTTGTTGTTTTTGGTTTTGTTTTGTTTTGGTGTTTTGAGGCAGGGTTTCTCTGTGGCTTTGGAGGCTGTCCTGGAACTAGCTCTTGTAGACCAGGTTGGTCTCAAACTCACAGAGAACCACCTGCCTCTGCCTCCCGAGTGCTGGGATTAAAGGAGTGCCACCACCACCTGGTTCAGCACAGTCTTTTTAAAAGACATCTGGTTAAAAAGTGTAGGTCACAAGTAGGGAATTGATCCAGCCCCCTGAATGTAGTGTCAGTAAGGAGGCCTCGGCAATCTCTGGGGCCTTGGGGAGTAGATCAGTGTTTACCATGGTGTACGAATGAACTTTGGGATCCCACTCCACATTGAGGGATGCTCTCTCAGCCTAGACACATGGGGGAGGGCCTAGGTTCTGCCCCAGATGAAATGACAAATTCTGGAGATTCCCCATGGAGGGCCTCACCCTCCCTAGGGAATAGCGTGGGGATTGGGTCAGGGGCTGAGGGGGCTGGTGAAGGAGCAAGGGAGGAGGGGTTGGAAAGGGAGCTGAGATTGACATGTGAAGCAAGTATGTGTCTAATTTAAATAAAAAAAATGAAAGGTAGGTCATAGTACTACCACCTCTTTGACCACCCCCTTAATGGTTCTCACCCTCAATTAACTCTTCCATAAAAAGAAGGCATTGACCATGAATGAACAACAATTAAATGAAAGGAAACTGTAAAGCAAAAGTGAGCCAGGCAGAGGTGGCTCTCACCTTTAGTTCCAGCACTTGTGAAGCAGAGGTAGGTAGGTCTCTGTAAGTTCAAGGCCAGCCTGGTCTATAGAGTGAGTTCCAGGACAGCCAGTGCTACACAGAGAAACCCTTTCTCAACCCCCATCCCCCCAAAAAGCAAAAATGAAGAATGCATTTCTGAGATTACACCCTAAAGACTTTGATGGCTGAGGAACCCAAGACCAAATAACCACCTCAGGTATACAGTAGAAGACAATGGCATTCACTGGGAATTTTTAGCTTCACATATAACAGAAGGGAAACAATGACTAGAATGTGAAATGATTTTTTTAAAAACCTGTGTTTCCAACAAGACAGGCATGAAAGCACTTTGTAAACTGCTAATCACCAAGCATATTAGGTGAAACCAGGAACTGGCACTGGAGATGCCCTGGGGCTTGCCTAGCATGCTGGAGGCCCGGGGTTCAATCCTCAGCAACTTGAAAAAAGAAAGAAGCCAGAATTGTGGAGGAATGCAATGTCACTACCAAATGGCCATTCTTAGGTTAGTAGTATAGAACGCCAACCTAGCCTGTGAGGTCCTGGTTTTAGTTCTAAGCACGCACACACACACACACACACACACACACACACACACACACACACTGATTTTAGTACCAGAAAACAGTCGTAAACAAGAAATCTCAAATGTATGACATATGATATAACCAGAATTGTTTGTTCTGAGTATTAATTGTTATTGCTTTGTAGACCAGGCTGGCCTTAAATTCACAAGAGATCCAACTGGTACCTCCAGAGTGCCTGGATTAAAGGTATATACCACCACCCAGATCTAGCAACTATTTCTTAATCTTATTTATATTAACAGTATTTGTGTAATGCTTGACACTTTTAAGCATTTAATAGGTATGTATCTAATGAATTGTTGAAGGAGAGTTCAATTATCTAGTATTAATTTTCCAGCTAATTAGAAGTAACTTTAAATATTAATTCTTTTATTTTCCAATCAGCATTTTTTTAGAAATTTTTTCATGTGCAAGTATGAGGGAGGAGGAATGTATGTGTAGTGTATGTTTGTGTATATATAAGGGTGAACATGCCTGGACTCACACAGAGGCCAGAAGAGTACGGTGGGTGTGCTGATCTTTCACTTTCTGCCTTATTCCTTCAAGGCAGGGTCTCTCACTGACCCTGGAGAAGGTAATAACCAAGCCCCAGGGATCCTCCTGTCTCCACCTCCCAGAGACCTGCACGTGACCACTCCTGACTTCACAATTGCACAGCAAGCACTTTTACTCACTGAGATATCTCTCTAACCCCCAAAAAATGTTCTATTATTGTTTTCCCAATATTCTGCCAATCCCAGAGACAATGAAGATCAATGAGTATAAAGAAATCTTTCAATAAGACATTCAATATTTATGAAGCCATCTGAAGAAATTAGTAGACATCTATTTAAGAAAAGTCTTGAAGGGTGTTGAAAATATTTTAGGTAGAGCTGATCTGAGCACTTCTATGTAAAAGAAGTTTCACATTTACAGAATGTAATCAAAAGGGTGGCAGGCTATTTAATAGTAGTTACCGCCGGGCGGTGGTGGCGCACGCCTTTAATCCCAGCACTCGGGAGGCAGAGGCAGGCGGATCTCTGTGAGTTCGAGGCCGGGCTGGACCGACAGCCTCCGAAACAAAACAGAGAAACCCTGTCTCGAAAAACCAAAAAAAAAAAATAGTAGTTACCATGGCAGCAAAAGAAACATCTTGCCGGGCTGGAGAGATGGCTCAGAGCTTAAGAGCACTGACTGCTCTTCCAGAGGTCCTGAGTTCAATTCCCAGCAACCACATGGTGGCTCACAACCATCTACAATTCAATCTGGTATATATGTAATAAATCAATAAATCTTTAAAAAAAAAAAAAGAAACATCTTGCCTGTCCATCAAGGTGTTGTCACCACACCTTACTGTCTACTCTTAGCTATTGTTTCTGGTTGTCCTGGTTATTTAGTTTTATTTGGGAGTAAGGCAGAAAGAAGAAACGAGAAGAATAAAAAGTTGAGTCCTGCAGGAGATTAATATCAAGCAGCTAAACTCAAACCATCATCAGTCTTCTCCAAAGGAGGCGGGAGATCCATGGCTGCCCTGCAAACCAGCTTGAGTGCTTATTAGAGAAGTAAAAGAGTAACAGATGATCTTCCTTCTGCTACAAATCACATGGAGAGATAATATTTAACATCCAGGAGCTGCTCCGAGGCCTGGGGGTAAAGAAGCAAGCCAAAGCTGGATACACAAACCTCTCTGCTTCCAGAGTAGTAGACAAACAATCGTAGCTCAATACAGGGTGTTGCTGAGAATGTACAAGAGACCTCCACAGTAAAAACGTGCTATCCAGTAACACTTCTTGAAAAGAGAGACTGTCTCTGCTGCCTCCAAGTTTACCTCCACGTCTAGCACATAGCAAATACTCAGTGACTGTTAAGAGGGCAGGGAGTCAGAAGCTCGACAAACTGTATAGGAAAGCTGCTGGCACCACATAATTGAAGTCACAAATCCCAAAGATTTTTGTTTGCTTGTTTGTTAGGATTTATCCAGTGTGTGTGTGTGTGTGTGTGCGTGTGCGCACGCGCGCACGCGCGTGTGTGTCCATGAGTTTATGTGCAATGCATGCAGGAATCCATGGAGGCCAGAAGAGGGAGTTAGATACCCTGGAACTGGAGTCAGAAGCAATTGTGAGCCCTGTAGTTGCTGGGGATGGAATTTTCAATGAGCAGTAAATGCTCTTAACTGCTGAACCATCATTGTGGTCCCAGTTCTAAGGGTTCTTGCACATACTTCTTTGCCTGAGTTTATGGAGGCTGGGCATAATTTGGTCTTCATGTAGTCTAGTTCAGCATTGCTATCATAGTTATCAGTTATCATCTTGTAGTGTCCTCCAAAATGCTCGAGATGTGTAGGAAGAGTTTGCCTTCTCAGTACTTTCCCCTGGAAATTAATTCTGGTTACTCCAGGGGAGTTAGCTTATCAACTTTAGAGATGTGTTTTACCATTGATCTGAGTAATTGCCAGTTACTACTTCTCCATTCCAGGAATAATCAAAGGTTGGTTATGCATATTATTTTTCCAATACCCATAGAATCAGAATTTCTGACCTGTTAGGGAACTCAGGATAATCCCAGCACTTGAGAGGCAGACGCAAGAAGATCTCTATGAGTCCAAGACCAACCTGGACAGCCAGGGATACAGAGAAACACTGTCTCAAAAATAATGAGATATTCTCATCAAACTGCCTTGTTTGTAAGAAATAGGGTAGATGGGATATGGTCCAAAGTCACATTGCTGGGTGGTGGTGGGGACAGCATTAGGATCAGATTTTCCTGTCTGCCACTCTTTCTACCATGCAGCCTGGGTTTCATTTCTCCACATGTACATTATCATCATCATCATCCTTACTTCACCTTTTCATAGTGCTCCGTAGGGTTCAAATCACTGTCACCCAAACTGCTTCATCATTAACAGTCAGAGTAATAACAATCAGCTTTAGAATGAGCACTTGGTTTCTCGTACAGAGCAGTTACCAAGTGCTTTTGCATGATTTCATTAACCCTCACAATGGTCCCATATATCAGGATACTAGCATACTATTTTTCCCCACTCTTTTATGGATCCGGAATATAGGCTGAAGGGGGTTAAGTAGCTTGCTCAAGGCCACACATCTAGGAAACGTAGCAGTTTAGCATCGTCCTAATTGCCTGCTGCCAGAGCCCCTCTCACAGTCTCCAGCCACCCACTGTGCTTCCCGCAAATGCCCTCTGGAACAGACAAAGAAGGTATTATACAAGGCATTGTAAAGCTATGCTTTGCTTGGAGTTTTAAGCTCGGTTTTTATAAGGAATTTTGCAGTCTCTCAGGTCCAGAAAAGAGAATAATTCCCTAAAGAAAAGAATATAGTGAAAGCAGCCTCCAGGGATGCCCGCAGTTAAAGGACAAGAGCAGGAAGACAGGCTAGCATGTAATTAGGAGCAACCACCCTGCTCCATATAGCCATAAGCTTGAACATGCATTGGTTTCATTTAAAAGTATACTGTGTAGGATTTAAAAGTGTAATTATGTAAAGCAGTGTTCACACACATACAGGGATGCACAATGTGATTAATAAAAACAATGTTCCCACTGGGTTGCCTGGTTACAAGTTGTTACTTAAGCAGGTACCAGCAGGCATTTGGGCTAAATTCTTGGCATCTAGCTGGAACCACTTAGAAGCAGTGATTACCCAGAATATGGTGACTGTCATCCTCCCAAAGCTAACCACCAGGATTTGATGAAAACAACTGTTTTCCAACTTGAGCCATCATTACAGAACTAGTTAACAAACACCCAAGTGTTCTAGCAACTTTATGAAAACTTTTCAGTACCCATCTTCCCCAGGAAAGGGAAATTCTCCCCTTCCACATGCCCCCAACCCCAAAGAAATGTATACAAACCTGCATTAGTTCTCTAGTCTTGATGTTGAGGTTGGTATTCATCTCTTTATCTTCACAGCCAAGCTGTGAGCAATACAGATAATTCTAATAGCTCAGTGAAGTAAAAAGAATTAGAGCTTTGGGATTTCTCACACCTGCATTTGGTCCCTGGTTTAGCTACTTCCTCATTGTAATCTTTGGAAAGTTGTTTAATTTCTCGAAACTTCTACTTCCTCATCCATAGAGCAGGCTAAAGAATGACTGCCTCTGTGTCAGGTAGAGGTTGTGAGGATTAACGCAGGTAAGCAAGTATTCACTAAGAAGACACAATGCTTCCCCTTAAGAATCTCACCATCTAGCCCCGTGGTGGTGAGGCCAGCCTGATCTACAGAGTGAGTTCCAGGGCACCCAGGGCTACACAGAGAAACCATCTCAAAAGACCAAAAGCATTGTCTCAATATTTAGCAAAGTGAAGCACAAAGGTCCATTATTTGTTCAATAATGGAGGGGTGCAGTGGCGCTGTGGGACCACAGAGGAAGGTTAACCCACCCCTGCCAGAAACTATCCTTTATGGAAAGCCTCAAAGAAGTTTCTAACAGGATTAGCCAGCCAGAAGACACTGTCAGGATTGTCCTAGGGAAAAGATCGCATACAGGAGAATATGGTGAGTTCAAGGTGGTCCAAATACGGTTTGAATCAAAGAAGGGTGATATGGGACTAGGGCAGAAAGAGTATAAATTTTCAAATCAATTCCATCACTTTCCAGCCCTACATCTCAACCAAATGACTTCTTCCTGAATCTATTTATGGAATGACAGAGATTACAGATCTCATATATATGAAATGCCTGGCACAGAATATACTTCTCAGAATTATTTTGATTGCTCTTTATCTCTGTTTATGTACAAAAATCTCGATGGTTGGCCTATAGTATACACACGTTTTCTTTCAGTGGAAGCATAAATGGATGAATTGAGTCACTTAACACACATTTATTAAACACCACCATGCGTCAGACAAATGGGAATGCAATGGTGAAGAAAACAGACCAAACTCTGCCCTGGTGGGACTTTCTGTTCCTAAATTGAGATGTGGGTGTGGCTCAAATGTCCAGGAGAGGACAGTGTGCGTGCGCCCCCTCCACCCCAGGCTCCCCATTTCACTGATAAAAAGCTAATAAACTGGGAAAGCAGAGTTCCCAAGAGGTCTAGATGTTAATCCCACTTCCTAATAGCACCGGGGAGGCTCCTGTCCTCTCCCTTAATCGCTCCTTGCTTATCAAGCCCCAGCTTCCTGTTGTGACCCAAGGGAACTAGGGAGTTGTGTTGTTTGGCAGGAAGAAATGTCAAGGAGGGCTCAAGCGGTTATGGGCTCTGCTGCCTGAAGTGGTGGCAGGAGGAAATGGGAAAGCAGCACACACAGAAAGGCTCTCCAGAGTGAGATCTGCCTATCTCAGTCGCCAAGAGATAAGTAAGCTCAAATGCCTGGTGAGGGTGCAGAGGGGCTGTTATTTCAACAGCAGGGTAATCATACTTCGCATGCATGGTTATCTTTAAGAAAAGCCTTCACCACAGGAATCTCACTTAACCCTCAGACTGTATGAGGTAGGAAATAACCCCATTAATCCCACCTTGCCCTTGTAAATTGACCCTTCTCTCTCCACAGCCTCCTTCCATGTGGCATATGACTACACAAAAAAACAAACAAACAAAAACCCTCTTACCTCATTCCTTATCCCCCAAACACACAACATCGTAGTCATCTCCTCAGAGTCCAGTCCATTAAACCTTTCAAATGTGCCTGCTGGTTTCACCTCCATTCACTCATGCCTCTATACACCAACCCCCAAGTGCCACTGGGCTTGTTCTTGCTGTCCCCAGTGACATCCTGTTTGCCCAGTCTCACAGATTCTTGTCAGTCTCATGGCTGGCTTCTTGTAGCTTCTCAAGCCAGTCACTGCTTGTTCTCCTCAGCCTGCTCCTGTTCTGCCATGGTGTCAGTCTCCTCTGCCACCCTCAATGCCTTCCAACCACTCACATACAGCTGTCTGTCTCTCCCTTTCCTTAAGTCAATTCTTTTTCCTCAAGATCCTATTCCAGCTTCTGGTTTGAGTGCTCTGGCCTAGCTCTTGGTCTCATTACCTGTCACCTGCTGGGTCTTCTCAGCCTCAAAGACAGATTCATGTGACTGCTAATGGTTCTTTATTCTGAAGAAAGTCTAAGAAACTTCAGAATAGAGGTGTTGGTTTCTCAGGTTTTGTGTGCCGAGTGCCTGGCTCTATGCCTAGGACATGGCAGACTTGGAGGCTTCGAGGTGTTTGGTAAATTCTCCAGACTCAAGCAGTTGGAGGGTGCAACTAATTTGGTCTTCTGACTCTCAGCCTCAGCACAGCAAGGTTACAAGAATTTTATTCTCAATACCTAAAACATCTGTGAGCCTTGTAAATCAAGGGGCAAGATGGTGGGAAGGATTTCCTCTTCCACACAAACATTGCTCATTTACCAGGTGTGGAAGGTTTGGTATTTGTAGTCTTCCTTTCACACTTCCCAGCATAAGAGAAGAAAGGGGAGAAAAAAAATAACAACAACAACAACAAAAAACACCTCCCATCTCTTCCTCCCAATAGACAGTCCCCACCATCACTTCCCTTTGAGCCAGGAGTCAGGAAGCCCAGCTTAGCTCATGAAACTCCCAGTTAACATTAGGTTTCCTCACAGAAAAATGTGCTAGGGAATGATCTAATAAGACACTATCATGGGGTTAGCCATGATACTCTCTACCATTCCGAAGTAACATTCCTGGAAATGCACCACCACTCAAAAAAAAAAAAAAAAGGAAACTTAGCTTGCCCTGGAATAAACAAGCTTTCAAGACAGAGACTGCAGCAGACAATGTATGCGCTCACCAATTACAAGCTCAAGTTCCACCCAAATACACACAATCAAAGGCTTTACCAAGGCCATCATTACATGTAGATGGCCCTCCTGCTGTTGAGGGTAACATTTTAGAGCTGCATTGAAGCAAGAAAAATGTCATCAAAGTGGCAGCGAGGTAGAGGCAGCTTGTTTGGAGTGGCAGGGTCTCTTTTCCACCTGATGACTCATGTCACCTTGTCATTTTAACGCCCAAGTCTGGGAGGGAGAGAAGGAAACCAAGAGGAAAAGAGTGGGCTGTGTGTGCATGTAATTTGTTTCACCGTTTTAGACGGCTTTTTAATGAGCTTTCTCATTAAGGGCTCTGTGGGTCTATGCTTAAAGTTTTCCGGAAAAGCCGATTAGCAGGCTGAAATCAGATGGCACCTTCCCAGTCGTGGCTTGTTTCCGAGGTTCTGCAAGGGAGGGAGACTGTGGAAGAAGAGGGACTCGTCCTAGCAAATTTGAAACCAAAAGATGTGACTTCAGCCAGTCCCCACAACAACACTAATGTTCATCAATTATTAGAATATCAGAGGCATCTGG